ATAGCCTAGATGGGGACAGCCAAGACGAAAATGCATTTCAACTCGAGGCTTCAAAACCAATGGGTGACATCACAACAACAACGTCCACTTCTTTTATACGGCTAACAGCTAACTCGTCCCATCGGCATTTTATCAACGTATATCACACGGGGTGTGTTTATCATTTAATTGTCAACTGCACCCTTACACCCGCGATCATGTTTCTTCCCACATTGATATTGATAAAACAGATTAGTGCAATATCATTTCTTGGGGAAAGGTTTGGAAGTGATGAGTTAATTCATTGATTCAATGAAACAAGTTCCCCATTGCCATGGTACCTCTGAATGCCCCATTGATTACAGGGATGCACTAACATATGTCGATCTATTATGCTGTATATGAAGATGCATATGCATGCTTTTATGTGGTTGTAGAGTTCATCTATTGTGCGTTCCAGAGGCTTTGGTAATGCACACATGGTGAAAACTAATTTCAACCATTTCATCTTCTTTCCTGTGTTTCCACTTTCTCTCGTTTCTCCCACTGGCCATTTCTCTCTAGAGAGGCACTTCTCCATTCTTTCAGCACAGACTTGTATCAACAACACTTCTTCGATTTTATTCCCTCTCCTCCTCCTCGTATCATCCCCCTCTTCCATCACTACTTTTGCTACTTCACACTCTCGATTAATCAAACCTGCCGAGTGGCCCTGCCAGTGTGGCCCAGAATCTCCATATGATTCCACAATTATAAACAAACAGACTCGCAGTGGAGGAAGAAAGCAAACCAACCTCGGGAGGGAAGAGCTGCATGTGGGGGCAAGGTGGAGAAACAACATGAACAAGAACAAACACTAGCCTGGTCCTAATTAGATGCTCACCAGCTGTGTGCTTTCTACAGTTAAATCAAAAGCCGGACTACTGGCTCACTGCGTGGCACCTTAACAACTAATGCATCTGTTAACATGCACTAACAAGGCCTGCAGCTGTATAGTAACACGCTCAAGTAAATCTCTATGAGTCAAATACATTTAACTTTATGAATCAATCTGAAGATTAGCACCCATGACGCCATCAAAATACTTCAAGAAGCATTTTATATTAAAGAGAAAACTGGAAAACAGAGGAAAACAGGAATCTATCAGAAAAATAAATAACAATCTTGCCAATGTAAACCCATGATGATGGCAAACAAAGAGGGAACTGAAAGATTAAGTCATGAACATTTCTCTTTAAAACATCCCATCATCTTCCTGCTGTCTTCCTGCTTTCCCACATGTCCTCTTTCTTCTCGTGTTCTTCCTCCTTTACCCCTCTGCTGCTCTCCCAATTTGCTGGCCTGATGACCCAGAGTCAATCATGACGATTCACTGAAATAAACAAGCCAGTGGGCTGACATTGGGGAATCGGCTCTGGGGCATTGGTTTGAATTCATGACCATCATTGTTTATTTCTCTTCTGCTGCTCTTCACGCTGGTCTCTGCAGGATCGGGAGGGTTTCCGACAGTCCGAAAGTTTCCGCATTAGGAACTTTTAAAGTTTTTTACCAAAATAACACAGTAAGGCCTCCGGTTTCATGGCGGCAAAGTGAAGGGTAGCAGCTGATCCTGACATGGGTGTAATCACACTGGTGGAGGTGCAACATGTGATACACAACTAGAAGATAAGTCTCTTCCCCTTTCATCTGGAGAGCCTCTAGATAGGACACACAGACTAAATCAACTTCTTCTCTTACTTGGTTTAAGTCACTGCATCTTTAGACAGGTTTCTTCCTGCTTCCCCTTTTTTTTCCGGTCTAAAATTTTTACAACAGAGCAGCTAATATAGGTAGAGAGAGCAGCAAGTTAGCTGCCTCATTCATTCATTCATTCATTGAAGTCGACCTTTACATCAGGCATACATCAAATATGTAGAATAAAACTTTCAATCGGATATTTTTCTAGTTTGTAATAACATTTGTCTTGAAATCGTTTCCTTTGAACAGCTGACTTTTGTAAAACGATACGAACATATATCATCGCAACACAATACCAGAGAAACTGGATGAGTAACATTAAACCATCCCCCTGCTCTACGTTCCACCTTGCAGCCATGAGGACACATGTTCTATTAAAAGCTAATTCAACGAACACATGTTCTGTACAAAACTCCAGACAGGTGTCGAAGCCAATATTAATATCAAGCACAGATAACTGACTGCACATTTACAAAAGGTTGCTCGCCCTACATAATGCACACGCAGCCCATGTATCGCCGCAGGGCATCTTGTTACACATGTATCCAGAAAGGAGCTCTGACATTGTGTGACCGTATATATATATTATCACTGCAGGCTTTAGATATCTCTCAATAAGCCTGCTCACCTGTCAGCTTCGGGGCTTATGCACTGTTGTCTTTCAGCGAACGGTTAATTGGAAACACCTCGGCTCCGGCATCAACGCCAGCGTCCGCGAGGCAATTTCCTGCACGTTTATTATTGTGTAATTACAGTGGTTATAATTCGGATACAAAGGGGCATCCGTGCAAGCCGTCCCCTCCTGCACAATGTTGACACTGTACTAAATGTGAGAAAGCAGAGACCTGTGAAACCGTACAACCTTTAAAAAGCCACAGAGCTGATTCAAAGCCATTAGGCTGTCATCTCTGTTCCCGCATTACGCTTTACGCCAAGAGAAGGTTGATTACTCAGTCCTGCTGGAGCAAGAGGTCGCTCTCTCTGTCTTTCTGTTTGCTTTATCACTAAACTGGATAACATCGGGTGTTGGACTAAACAAGCAAACTGAGGATGCCATATTAGGCTCTGGGAACACTTACGATTAATTAAACACACAGATTAAATATTGCAAGCGTAGCATTTTGGAATTAATAAATGCAACTGATAGAAATAAGAAAATGCCAATTGTCGAAGAAGCAACGTTTTCAAAGAGACTTCCTCTCTGTCAAATATATTTGTATTTGAGAAACATTTATGAATCTCTTCCCATCATTTTGTGACCATAACCTTTATCAACACACTGCAGGTTACTTGTAATACTAATAATGTAGGAATGAATCATTGGTCCACGGTTGTACTGATTGGATTAGATCGCTGTCTAAATGCCTGAGGCGTAAATGTGATTGCCAGAGACTACATCAGTAAGATTCAGTTAGCATCATTCTTTGATTGTAATAATAAATCCATACTCGTGGATCAAGAAATGGCTGTTTGAGTAAAATCTACTTAACAGAAGAACTAAGGAGGCAGGGAAACAAAAGAAAGGCCATAAAAACAATCTGCTGGCCTTGTTAAAGGTAGAATATGAGGAAAAATCGATAAGAATGCAATCATCTCAGGAGTCTTCTCCAAGCAAATTCGCCTCTATTAAATTCGTGGTAAAACAAATAAATAATAGAAGATGGATTTGGGTGGCAACAAAGACAGATATTTGTAGAGCGGTGTGTGCTTAACAAGGATTTATACATTAAATAAAGCAAAGACAACAAAGAGACCAGAACCACACCATCTGCACTTCTTAACAGTGACTGTGGGAGTAACAATGAAGCTGGAGTCTTCTTTTTGGGGAGCAGCCAGATGGATTTGATTCTAACATCAAAGCTGCAGAACAGAAAGAAAGTATCAACACAGGAGAACCGTGGGAACCAAAGGAGGATCCCCGAACACATTTCTAACCCCTGTTTTTTTGGGTTACGGGGTCTCCAAAACATGAATACAGCTTGGATTTCAAATGTATTTCACCTGAGATCAGACAACTGGCTCATCAGTAGTATATCAACCAGGCAAAATAAATAATAATTCTCACATGAGTCTTCTATTTTCTAAGCTTGTGACCATATTGTAAATGTGCACCCTGCTAGGCACACCTGTGATTCCTGGCTGCGCTGCTTCCCAAGTGCTCACCGGGAAGAGCACTGACTGCGTCCCAGGAAAACACACACACACACACACACACACACAAGCTTACACAACTCAACACCATCAACATTATCCAGGACACCAGATGCGCCACTCAGAAATAATTACTCCCTCTTGGCGTTGCCTTCCTGCAGCCCAACAGTTAACCTTGAGCGTCACCTGATCAATAGCTTGTTTTATTGGTCCCAGCCCATTTCTTCAACTGCTTGTCAAACATAAAATGCATTGACAAGCACGGCCTGGAGCCCTGCGGGCAGGCCTGTTGGTAGATAAATACCACCATGCGATGTCTGCTCACTGCCCATCTGGAAGGTAAGGGGAGTTTAACGGAATAATAGCAGGATGGTTCCCACTAAAACCAGTCATTAGGAGGCTAAATCAGTGGCGAGGCTTAATGGACCCCACACAAGCTGAATGTAGAGCCTTAGAAATGGCCACCTGCCACAGCTAACTGCTGGGATTCATCAACTTCATCAGCGTTTTGGATTCAGATGCAGGTTATTTCACTGCAGTTTGATGTGAGACATGAAAGAAAACGAGAAGAAAAAAAAAAAAAAAAAAAGCGAGCCTCAAACAGGAGCTGCAGCAGGCTGCCATGGCGTCCAACACATTGTGATGCCGATGCCACAGTAAAAATGTGTGGTAGAATTGTGATTATTGGTCCTAATAAGGTGGAACCTGCCTGTGCTCTCAGCCGCCGCTCGGTCTAAAACCCAAAGGCCATTACGGCTGTTCCAGATGCTGTAATCATGGCCGGGTCTGGGCACAGGGGCCGCTGTGCGATTATCAGTTTATCCGTGGCTGAAACACTTTTGTCCTGGCGGCTGCTGTGGAGAGGCTGACTGGCCAGGAGGTCAGCAGGTTTCTATATAGTGACGACAGTAAGCTGTGTTTTTTTTTAGTTTTTAAAAGCATGTCATTTGTACTGCATGATTTGTCGTGCAGCTAGGTTTTAAAGATGTAAAATTACAAAAGAATGTATTGGCAGACTGCACAGTTTTACATCTTTAAAGTAGTTTTACAGGATAACATGGTCTCTTGGACAAACACTTTGTGTCTTTGTTTTCTGACGAGGAAGAGGAAGACAATGAGGATGAAGGACTCACGGAAAGCTGTGTAGAACTCGTGCAGGCTGAGGTGTCCGTCGTTGTTGTAGTCGTCGTAACGCAGCAGGTCCTGCATGGTGCACTCCAGCAGGCTGTCCTCCAGGTGCTCCTTCATCGAGATCTAACACACACAACACACACGTGCCGAGTTCATTCACACAGCTGGACGAAAAATATGTGAGGCGGGGAACTTGTGGGAAGACCGATTGATATAGGCAACTATATCATACCAGTCCACACTATTCTCACAGCTTATCACAGCCTTCACTTATCGTTTCCCTCTTCTCATTTCTATTCTAAGCTATCTGCTCTGAGATAGAACCACATCATGCACATTCAGTATAAATGTAAATTTGACATTTTTAAAGGCAGAGATATTACACACATTTAACATTTCAGTATTCTTCTAATAGGGTTTCCTTGGTATTATTGTATGAACATGAACAGCTTCATTCAGAATCTTAAAGGTGCTACATTTGATATTCAGAGCATTAATATGCAGAAAAAAATGACTTGCAATGTAAAGCTATAGGAGAGTAATGTCTACCTGAGCAGAGAATGAAGTCGCTCTCCCTCTGTCTGCAGTAATCTCAGCTTCTTTCCTACATAGCTGCGCTGGCCGTGCATGCTATTAGCGCATGTTAGTGCACGTGAGCATGCCCATTGGCTAGCTCACGTGCGCTGTTCTGCACTGCGCTCATACGGCGGTTACCGCTTATAACGTTGATCCAACCGGCAGCATTGTAGCACTGTCCATGAACATTCTGTATTTTACATATTTGTGTTTATTGAATTTGTATATTATATAGATTTGACTGTGCTCATTACAGCACAGCCTTCTCTTCACAAACCTTCCAAATGTTGCTGTTCCAAGTGCTCCAAGTCGTGATCACTTGGGTTTCCAGTAGATGCAAAAGTGATTTGAATTGAATTGCCAGCCTGAATACAGTTTATCATTATAAGTGGTGTTTAGAGTGGGCTTTTTATTCCACCAATAATTAGAGTAAGATTTCCATCAGACGGAAGATGCCTCGTGTACATAAACACCCGAATCAGAGGAACTGACTCATTCTGAGAGTCATTCCATTCTGTGGGAAAGGGGCGTGTTAAATATGTAATCTGTCACGTAAGTGCTGCTTCTGATTGCTTTCCATTTTAGGAATATCTCTGCTTTTACCGCTAACGCTGGTGCACGTGGCACCCCAGTTAATTCAAAGATGTTCCCCCGGGAAGACGCACCGCTCACTCCTCCATTGTTTGTCATTTACGAGCCCTCTCTTCCACTTTAGTGGTGCGTCTTCCCCCGGGGAGCCATCTTTGAAGAGGTAATGTTAGGCAGCTTTAGTGAGATAAACAGCAGGCTGAGCTTCTGCTCAATAACTCCAGTTGCACTATATTCTGTTAAAGATGTTCGTATTTTTTGTAAGAGTTAAAAATATTGACCGTATGAAAGTAAATTTAAAGTAAAAAAAGAAGAAGAAAGTTTTGAGTTTGTTTTTAGGCCGGAATGTTACGAGGTGCTGTAATGTAAATCCAACGTTTAATTCTTTGGGCTATGATTTTAAAGCCCCTTAAATAAAGCCCCCGTGCACGGTCCTCTCCCCCAATTGATTCTGCACGGAGCTGCACTTGTGACGTGGCAGATAAGGGGATGTGACACACTTGTTTCCTCCTCTCGCTGCCTACAGCAGACTGCAGTCATGTGTTCACTGACGCACTGATGTGTCTTTGGGCATTTGAGTAAAACATTTCAGACCCAAAATACAGAGCTTTACCCTCTGAGACCATCTGTGACAATAGAGGGATCCCAGAAGAGAGACATTCTGGATGGATGACTGGAAATCATCTTTGAATTCCTTTGGTCCTCAAAAGCATTATGTCTGTGAAGCTGTATTTATGAATTCCTAAGGATAAGAATGTCCTATCTACAGATTTCCTGGCAACATGTCAGCATTAGTAATTGCCAGCTGTGATTGATCAAAATCTTTTGTTGGATCTTGTAGTGCAGCTCTGTCAGAGAGGGATTCTATTTTTCATTTCTGCAGCTAGAACTAGGCCAAAAATCACTCAATCTGTCTTCATTTTAAAAGGGGACAAAGCAGGTTGCCATTCACAACCGCGGAGAGATGACAGGAGATGGATTACTGTGGCATTTTTGAGACTATATTTAGTTTCACTTATTAATCATCAGCTTCTAATAAGCTTGCTATTCAGTGGCATCATAAAGCCATTCTCTTTCCATTCCCACATAACGAGAAAGAGCTACAGCACATTCAGATTGTTGGAGATTAAGACCGCAGAGCATTTGCCAATTCACTCATCTGGTTGCAGTCCGCTGTCGGCAGTGACACTAACACGGTTCACTGCATTCTGGCAGAAGTCACTGAGACCAAAGCATTGGTTGGGAGGAGTCTAATTAACACCCATCTCTGATGCCCATTTCCCGATACCAGATGATGCCTGCAACAATTCAATTCCCTCGCCCTGCAAATGCCAATGCCAATCCTTTCTACTGTTTCCCACCAGGGTCTGATGGGAAGATAACCTCGGTAAACATCTTTTAATGTTAAACAAGATTAATTGCATGTTTGAGCCACGTGTCACTCACTCTACTGTATAGTTTAAACCACGTGGTCTTAACCCTCTGAACCCCAGAGCCTGTGGGCTGGTTTGAAAAAGCATGTTTTCTATATTTTATTACAGTTCAAGGAACTTTCCGCCGTTCCGACGTTGAACCATCATGTGTGACGAACGCTTCCGTCAGGAAAAGCAGCCAAAGGTCGACACCCACCTTCTCCAGCTCATCACCGACGAGCCGTCCGTCCTCGTCTGTGTCCAGGTATTTGAACATAGTGTCCACCAGCGCTCGCTTCTCCTCCATGTCTCTCTGCTGGTTCTGCTCTCCAGTTTTCAGCGCTTTGGGCTGCATATCCAGCAGCATGCTCTTCAGCCTGTTGTACTCTGACATGGTGCATGCGTTGCCTGCGGGAGCAAACACACAGATATGGAAGAAAAGACATTTGTTTAACCTCAATTATACAAGCCGAAGCCTTTGGATCGTTTCTGTAAATTGGATTTAATGTGTTGGCGTGTTTTTATAGAGGGAGGAGAAGAAAAAGAGTGCAAGAGAGATAAATAATGTGTGTATTGGTGCATGCATGTGTGTGTCCTAGAGTGTTTATTCATTTAAAAAGTGTTAGTTTTTTGTTTGCATAATTTGTCCGGCAGCTTTTAGGTGCAGTGGGGGGGGGCAATTAATTACAAGTAATCCTTGAATCCACATAAAAGCAAAAGGTAAACATTTAGACCCTCTCAAGCTCCTGTTCCTCCTCTACGCTATGTGATTAGAGCTCAAGTCTCAAACACGACTAGGCGTCGATCTGCTGATTTTCTGCAAGGCTTTGCCTGATGGAGATGTGCAGAGGAAACGAGAGACCACAAATGAATCACGGACGGCACTCAGCATTTTTTTCTTCACACTTTAAATCAATAATTATGCAAAACGCGTCCGTGCCATGCTGTGAGGGACTTGATACTAATGGAGAGCAGAGAAGCAGCTTTTCCTCTTCTTTCCCATCATGTCCCACCTTTCCTTTAGTATTACCCGAGTCTGATGACAGCATGAGAGATGCTGGCAGGAGGGTACGAGGCCCACGTGCAAGTCAGGAGCATGGTGACGAGAACAAATTGTAAAAAGAAAACCTCTCCCATATGAATAACTCATGAGGCGACGTCCCTGCCCGATCACTGCAGAGCAGGAGACCCCCCTCTGAGAGCACTCAGGAATGGATCTCATGGCCTAATCTCCTCCGACAACGCAAAAAACATCAAAGTTGACAGATGCAAAATGAGGGGACAGGACGGGCCTAAAAGAAGGACTCTGGAAGTTTAGTCCCAGCATCTCATTTTGGTTTTAAAACTGGCAGCAGTGGGGAGTGCTGAGCATATCCACAGTTGTTTAGCACTGTAACTGTCCACAGACCAACCGGTGATGTAACAGTGACTACGTCCACTTCCTATATACAGTATATGGGCTAAAGTGAAGAAAAAAACACGACTTGTTTTTATTACACGTACTGCTATCCATTTATGAAAACTGGCATTCTGTGTAAAATAAATAAAGAAAAAAAGAAAATGAGACCGTCCTGAGTAAAAGAAAGGGATAGTGGTTTGACCAAACAGCTGGAAACCTTCAGATGGGTGACAAAACCCCCCAGAACAACTAGAATGTGTCTTTCTAAACTTTCTAAATGCCTACAATCTCACGTGGGTCATTTTGGAAGGCAGTGACATGTGACCTGCTTCGTCTTTCGGTACGAGGCCTTGCTGAGCTCTCTGAAATCAAGCTCCTTTGTAGCTGTGTGGGATGTATTAAAGATGAGAACGTTGTTCTACATTTAACATATTGTTAACAAATACTATGAAAAGACCAAACATCAAATGAGTCTCTCGCTCAATATTTCCTGATTTGCCTTTTGTTTCTGACACTCAAAAGACATACATTTGGGTTATAAATATATAGTTATATTTTTAATAAAGGCTAAATGAGATCCTAAAACAGTTGGGCATTGTAGTTTTTAAGAAATGCCACTCAAACAGGTGTAAATTATTTCTTTATGTGAGACTATTTTCAGCTGCCCTAGTTTATTGTTTTTTTATAAAGAGTCAAAAGAAAATTTCAAGGCCGTTTGAACACAAATGTTTCGGCCATCCCTGCTTTGATGAATAGCATACCGGAGGGAGGGACAGTGTATATGACATTATGAGACTGGACTTCTTTATATGAGGTTAGGAGGGCCTGTAATTTGTAGTACTCCGACTTGGTAATCAACTACATCCATCAAAGTGTTTGGATGTTTTGCTTGGTGGCGGAGGTCAAACCCAGAAAACAGCAAGTAATGAGAGGAAGTTATCAATTCAATGAATCTCAGTTATCTGGGAGGTTTGAATAATATTTGACATGTCCTTAACGTCACACATGAATGCACATGCAAAGACAAAAACCAAAGACACCCAGAATGTCGCACACCGGTCTCAACACTGGCTGCGTATTACAACACGAAGACTTACACACCCCCACCACTAAGACAATGTGCAGGCTGTCAAGTCAAGGTCTTGGCTAAATCCCTGTTCAATGTTATTCCTGCGGGGGGGAATGAGGCGTGAGATGGATCAGACATGAGGGATCATCACCTAGCTGTCATCCCGGTCCCTGCTCTGGAAGGACAGAAACAAATTTACACCCTCAGGCTGATTTGCATCTCGTCATATATGGAGAGAACAATCCTCTCTTTGCTCAGCCCCAGTACCTCTATACGGAGGGGAAAATATCATGAAAAGATATTTCATATATACACGTTATTAAAGAAAAAAAAATGTAAGGCAATTTCAAGACTTGTGTAGGAGGAGACATAATCCGCCAATGTTGCTGCACTGACACAGGCCGGAACGGATTGTTGTTATAACTATTCAACACAAACTGTTGAAAAAACTGTTGAAAATAATGTCGAACATGATATATGTATGGTGTTGCAGAGATAGCTACTGAAACGAACAGGCTACCTGTCCTGTCTTGTAATACGACGTCTACATAGAGAGGTGAGACTGATCGCTTCCAGTCCTCATGAGAGGACAAAGAAGTGTTGTTAGAGTATTGTAGTATCATTTATTGGATTAAAGGGGTCGACAGCCTAAAACGGAGCAGAATGTGGTTATTGTTGTTTTCTTCTCTCCTTTCTTAGTTAGTCTAATCATTAAATTAAATGAATTCAATTGTATTTATTAATTTAAATATAAATATTACATTTTATTTAATTTTATTAAATTTTTTCTTCTATATTTTGTAATATTGTTATAATCCCTCTCCAAGACTTCATCTCCGCTATGGCAGGTGGATTACTCAGTGAATGAGCTGGATCTAGGGCCATAGTGGAGGTCAATGTGAGAGTGTGTAGGTGGAGGGAAAAATGGGAAGAGAGAAGATGGATGGAGGAATAAATAAAAGATGAGAGAGAGAGAAGCGTGAGTGAGAACGTACAAGGAGTGAACCCGAAGAAATGAGGGGAAGTTATTGCACATTTATGTATTCATGTCCTAACTGTGGTGTCTTTCTGAAAAATAAAAAAAGAAGAAAAGGATCCAAAACGAGAAAACTACTCATATTTTTGTTTTGTCCTCAAAACCACCAGGAGATGACTTTACCGGGACAATGGCGGCTCTGTGAGAGGGGCCTTCGGCGGTAAGCTGTAGCACAAACCCAGCGCCGGGTCTGAACTGTATAACGGGTGCAACAGAACAGTTTGCTGATCCGGCAGGGAGGGTTCGCACTGGCTCAATTTGTGTTACGACGGCCCCGCTAACTGAAGGTTTGTCTTCCGCAGCTGACCAGCTGACCAATAAACAAACCATGAAAACGTAAACAGACGGTACAGCCACCGGTTAGTGGAACAGTAAGTACAAGATAAGCCGACGGCACACACAAAGATCAGAAAAAAGCACTGTTATTTTGACCGGCTGTCAGAGTTTCAGCAATGTGCTTGAATTTTGCGTTTTCTTGCCCCGGTTTTAGTAAGTAGTTTACTTTTTTATTTCATAACCGATGACTGTAAACGTAGCTTGTATGGACCCAGAGGTGAAATGCTGCCCCCCTTTTTCTTTGGAGGAAGTGTTTATATCTTATTCATTGCACCTGTAATGCCCTCTTCCTACACCTTCTATTCTCTGGGCATGATGAGAAAGTGAATGTTACACCTGGATGTTACAGTGAATCACGCTCTCTTTCGTTGCCGCTGTGAACGTCCTTTGATTCAGTCTCTTTCTATTCTGCTGAGCACAGCAGCTGCTGCAGTGGCAGAGAAATATCGGTCTGTATTACAGTGCATCCACCGCTGACTCTAACACTGTTTTATTGTTCTAGAGGGAACCAGACTCTTTATTGCCCGTTTGAAATGTTAGCTGCTTAAGTGAGTGATCCGAAGCTGCTCGCACCATGGACGCCCAACGTCCCGGAAACGGAGCTCCTCTTCCGCCGCTCGGAGCATCCTCCGAGCTCACGCTTTATAAATGTCAGCCAGGGGAAAACAAACAGCGGGAGAAACAACCAGAGAAGAACGTCTCTGTAACGCTAAAGGGAACGGTTTGTATGAGAGGACAAACAGTCTCTCAAGGTAAAAAAAAACATACAACATAAAATATGCAGGGGTTGTGTGTATGTGAAACCAAGTATGTCAACGTGACTTTTTTTTTCAATGAA